GCCTAGAAAATTTGAGTTATTTTGGGCAGCTCCAGCTGTCTTAGGGACCTGTGATTAACCTTGTATGGCTAAACTGAAAACGGTCACAATTAGACCCCAAATGGGTGATTTGGGAGAAGCACATTTGGGAGTTCCAGTTTAGAAATGGTTGACAAAGTTAGGGCCAGAAACAATTATTTTGTGCTGCTCTGACCCACTCTAGTCTGAGTTCTACAGAGGAAAACCACTGAATTTCTACAAATACCTATCAAATGACAGCTGCCTAGAAAATTGCTCTTTGCCATGAAAGTATTAAACCGATCTTTTCAGTTATTAGTTTTTTACTATATATCTAGAGGGAATTACATTCCCTTTTTTTATTCATTCTGCATGAGTGTCGTGGTTTGAACCCAGTCGGCAGCCAAACCCCACGCAGCCACTCACCCACCCTCCCCTGCCTGGGAGTGGGGGAGGAAGTTGGAGGGGTAAAGGAAGACATGCAGGTTGAGATAAAAACAGTTTAATAATGGTAATAAAATCAAACAGTAACAATAATAGAAAGTATAAACGGTCAATACACAATGCTATTGCTCACCACTCGCTGACTGATACCCAGCCAGTTCCCAGCTAGTGATCACCATCCTGGAAGCGAGAGGGAGTCCCCCCTTCCCGGTCACCCCTCCTCTATATACTGAGCATGACCTTACATGATATAGAATATTTTATTGGCCAATTTGGGTCCGGTGCTCCGGCCGTGCTCCCTCCCCGCTTCCTGTGCACTTGCACATGGGCAGGACACTGGGAGTTGGAGAGTCCTTGAAATCTCAGCAACTGAAACCATCAGTGTGTTATCAGCATTCTTCTCATACCAAATCCCATACTGAATCCAAAACGCAGTGCTATTCTAGCTATGAAGAAGAAACATGAACTCTATTCCAGCCCAAACCAGGACAATGAGTCTTATCAGATTATTTACGTATTCATTAGTTCTTATTCCCCAGCTCTCCTGAACCCTTTATCCAATTTAAACCCAAAGTATAATGAACTTGGTAAAAGGCCAATATGTTTGATGCAAATATGCAGCATGGTACAAGGGAGATCCAAAGTACTGCCCTCTGTATCAACAAATTTATAGTGTAAATTCAACTACATTGTTAAACATCATAGGATTCCTTCAAGAGAGTGACATTTGAGGTGAAAGCTACCACAAAAAATCATAAAATATTACCCTCATGGGATGTTGTCCACCTCTCCCATCTAGTGGGCTTGTTTTTATGGTTATCAATGAAAAGACACAAAGTTTATATGTATGTGGGTTTGTAAATAACATACCTAATTGCAAGTATATCTATGCTAGTTAGGTAGCAATTGTCTTCTGTGTAAAGGCTGGTGAAGTTTTTCTGGTCTCTGTTTGCCCAGTTATCCCATCTAAGTCTGTTTCCTACTCTGCAGGAGCCAGTATTAGGACCACTTACTACTATCTTAATTTCCTATCAGAAAATTTGACTTTGAGTGACATTTGCAAAAGAAACTCTCATGGCTTTTCAGCCTTGAACTTCCTACTGAATGAAACATAAGAGGGATTAGTTTCCATTCAGATGGCAGTTTGTTTTCTGAAGATTTCTGTAGTTTTTCCACAAAAATTTAAACTTACAAAAAATAAAAAAAAAAAAAAGAGGGGGAAGAATTAGAAAAATTATAGATCCTCTAGGAAAAAGATCTGTCTCACTAAACTTGGAGCAAGACCATACATAAACTAGTAGAATACAGTAAAACACTGTTCCAGTTTGCAGTGCAGATGGAACTAAGTTTTTGCTGAGAAGCCTGATGAAACTATCTTTTAGGATGAAGGATAGAAGATCCTAACACAATCACAGCAGTTATGTTCAAATGCTGTTTCAAATGTAATTATATTCATACTAATCCCATCTAGCTACATGTACAGTACGTGTTAATAAAAACGAAGCCTGGAATTACCCATGAAATATTTTACTCTTTTAATCAGAGGAGAAAAAAGATACTTTAGTTTGCATTTGCTTATCTTTCCAGTTACTTGGGAGGTGATCAGCAAATACACTACCGTAGATCATAGATGCATGCAGAGACTTCACACAGATGGAGACTATTTTTAGCATGTTTCTTACAGGGCTAACAATTCGCTTTAGTGTTCACTATCCATTCCAGGGAGCATCTGAGGTTTAAATTCTTCTGTACTGACACTAGAATTTGAACCTTTTTTCATATGATAATTGGATGAGTATCTAGCTATGCCATTCTTCAGTGACTGCATTGTTATCACATGCAGTGCCCTCCCACTTCCTTACAGAAGGTCATCTTTCCCTTTTCCCATGCACAGTAACAGCATCCAGAAACTCTTAGCATCTATGCGGGAAAGACGATCATCTTTAAGTATGTACTACAGTCTAGAGAAGTTTCAGAGCTACCTTCTTTTGTATTCTCAGCAGATCTATGAGGCAGTCTAAAGCAATGTTGCCTTCTGCTTTCCCTAACACAAAGAGTAGTTGAGTATCAGTATGTGAACAGAGGAGACTGAAAAGCTGAAGATAAAAGTACAGAGTCTCATGTTCTCTTATCAGGATGCAACAATTATGCAGCTCCACAACTGTAAGGCACTGGGCAGTACCAGTAGAGTCTATAGACTCTGCGGCACCTCTCAGAAATAAAGGTCTGTAGAATACCACAAGGGAGAACAGAAGTCACAGAGGAGTTGAGCAATGTCCATCCCATGTGTTAAGAAAGTGGATAAAGTAATAGGCTGGTGGACCGTATTCTTTGTCTCCTATGACTCTTACAAGACAACACAGCCTAGGAAACGACACTGTTTCTGACAGCTTCAACCTCACACATCCCCTCCTACCCCTCCATGCAGCTGGTACAAATAATAGTGTGGGAAGGAGTCAGAAGTGCAGTAAGGTACAGGTGCAAAAGGCAGCATTTTTTTTCTTGTAGAGACTTCTCAGCGAAGGTGTGCTATGGTTCCTGTAAGGAAAGAGATTAATGGTATGTACAAGGAAGAGACTGTATGGGTACCAGGCACCGCTGCCTACTACACAGCACAGATACCCCCTGAAAAGCCCTAAGAAAAACCACCTGGTGACCTGCCACAGGTAACGCAGGTGCAGTACAGGACTATGGAGTGGCTCTGGAGACCAGCTCCTCAGACCTGACAGGCACCCCTCAGCACTGCAGAACCCCAGGAAGGCACAGGGACCAGCGGTTGGCATCCTGATATCAAACCTGGGATCAGGGGATTCACTTCAGGTTCCAAGTCCTCTGGTTAATTCTAGTGGGATTTCAGCATGGGAACCAAGTGTATTGAATAATTGACCTGTGATACATCTTGGCATTGTTCTCTTACGGCACGAGGATGAGTCAGGAGATATATGAAATCCTGAAACATTCAAGGAGCCTGCAAGTCCTTAGCTTTTGCATCTTGTAGAAACCAATTCTAAGGGTCCTTCTTCAAGGAATAGGAATAGGTATTATCTACAGGTCCTGGCTGCCAGTTTTCAGTGACCAAATTCACCGTGCTTCTGGAATTTTTATAAAAGGTGATGAATGGAGACAGAGACTTGAAAAATAGCTGTCCTGTTTAAAAACCACACAGAATACATGATCAGTCAGATTCCATTTTGGTTTTGTCACTTAGTTTTTAAGAAGGTAACAGAAAAATCTGTTTTTGTTTTTAAATTAAAAGACTGAGTGGTGATTAGACTGGGTGACTCTAATAGACCTTGTTGACAGATTAGTACCGGTTTAGATATCTACAGATTCAAATTATGAAAACTTAGCCAATTTTTGTATGCACAGACTTCCTCCTAACTTTCCAGCTATTGAGTTTAGCCAGCAAAAGAAAATAGCCACAGTTGAATTTCCGGGTATAATTAAAAAGTAGTTGAACAAGTGCACCACTTAGTGCTCTTGTTGGAAAATGGGTGAAGAAAAAAAAATTGTTTAGGGTAGTATAAGAACAACTAGTCGAACACCTGCAACATGTTGTTGGTTGCACAGAGGTCCCTGAGCTAGACAAGCATGATAAACACCTCCTGGGGAATGGGTAAATGGAGAGACTCCGTGTGTAAATTGGGAGAGTCCCAATCAGAAGCCCTTGTCCTTGAAGATTAAGGCCCTCTGAAAAATAATGAACTAGCTGAAGCTAGACAGGAGATAAGAAAGTGCAGACATAAACTGAAGAAAGGCCAATTCCAAAGTATTGACAAAGTTCAGGAAAGGCTTCTCTCCAAAGACCACCAGAGACTGCTAGAGATAACCAACAACCCCCATGGGAGCCCCTGAGAGACCTAAACCACACGTGTAATGATTATGTAAATAAGATCATAAGTTTTAGGAAATTTGATGAATACGTATGTAACAGTGATATAAGCTTTGGCTATTGTAATGTACGGTGGGCATGTTAGGTGGGATGACCCCCTCATGTCCCCGGCTGAATAAAGTAATGCCTGCTCGTTAATGCTGCACCCAGCGTTAAGGAGTTTTCATTCCCGATTTCGGTGACACTACCAACAACATATTTCATTTTAAACCACGCTTCTCTCAGTTTACTGTAAGTCTCCAACGAAGGGATATCGACATGCACATGGATTAATTAAACTAAAAATGCCTTTCAGACCGTTTTAGCTGAACGGGAGTAACCTCGCGCACAGACACATCCCCAAAATTAAACTGACCCTATCGCGAGTGACTTTGCTTCCAAAGGAGCGATGCAACCGCTCCTTCGGGCATCCCGCTCAGAAGCGGGGCGAGGAGGACCCGGCAGACAAAAGCGGGAAGCCGGTTTCCCAGCCGGGAGGATCAAGCCGCGGTCAACCGATTGCGGCTCCCGGCCCACCCCCCACCCCACCCGTGTCCATGGCGGGCCGGGGTGCCCCGGGCGGAGCCGTCCCGGCGGTGGCGGCCCCGAGGGACCCCGGCGGCGGGGTGTGGGTGGGGGCTGCGGCCTCCCCGCGCCGGGCCCGCCGCCGCCTGCATCCGGGGCTCCAGCCGCCTGGTGACGTCAGCAGTATAAAGGCGCGCAGCGCCTTTGTTCGCTCCCATTGCGCAGTTGCGGTTCGGTAGGAGCGGAGGTGAGCGCGGCCGGGCGAGCTGTGCGGGCCCGGGGAGGGGGTGTGGGGGGGAACGGGGCCCTGCGCGGCGGGAGCGGGTCGCGGCAAGCCTGGCTTGGGGGTGAGGGGGCTGCGTTCCGCACGCCCGCCGCTGTGGGGGCCGGGCGAGGCGCGGCGGAGCCAGGCCTGTCCGCCTGGTCTGGGGAGGGAGCGGGGCGGCGGGGGGGGAGAGGGGGTGTACCCCAACCGCGTGTGGCGCGGTGGCCGCCATTTTAGGTGAGGGGGGTTCTGCTCGAGGTCCCGCCGCGCGGGCCTCCGCGGAGGATGCGGGCGGATTGGTTGGTTGTTTTGATTTTTTTCTTTTTTTTAAAAAAAAAAGAAAACAAGCGCCCGGAGGGCTGGGCGAGCAAGCTCAAAACGGGGTTGAGGTGGGCAGGTGGGGTTGGCGCCGAGGGGGTCGTTGGCCGCCGGATGGGAGAGCGCGGTCCCCGGCCGGAGATGTCCGCCATTTTGTGGAGGCGCCTGGAGGCGGCGGAGGGTCCCGGCGCCCCCCCCCCCCTCCCCGCTTTGCGGCGCGGGGCGGCCGCGCGCGCGCGCGCCCTGGCCCGGGGGCCGCTTTGTCCCCTCAGCGCCGGGGGAGCTGCGCGGGCCCGCCCTGTCCCTGCGGCTGCCGCCGGCCTTCCCGCCGCCGCGCCGGGGGCCTGCGGGCAGCGTTTGTCCACAGGCGCCAGGCGTTTTGCCAGGCACTTTGAGGTTTTGCTTTGTTTTCGCCTTTTTTTTTTTTTTTTTTTTTTTTTTCCCCCCCCACCGTCTTGAATAGTCGCGGCCTTGCTGTGTACAACTGCGGTGATGATTTGGTATCCGTTCAGGCTGACACGTTATGTAGGCCAGGAGTTTGGTGTAGTCTTGATGTACGTTAAATAATTCAGAGAAGGAGCTTAATTTGGAGTATTGACCAAAGATGACTTGAAAGTTAATATTTTGGTATTCTTTTGACATACTAAATAAACCTTTTGAAATATCTATGACAGGATTTAGAGGGAGTGCTAGGATTGCCATTAATGGCAAAAATACTGTAACCCTGAAAGAGTTTTCACATTCACCAATACCACTTGATCTTGAGCGTTATTAGCACTGCTTTGTTCCACTTTTTAAAGTTAACTTTATCGTTTTGAAATAGACTGTATAAGGTGAAGAAGTAGCTGAAGGCAGTACCAGTTGTAGTTGCTTCAGTCTAAAAATTGCAATTCTTAATGCTCTTTATACATCATATTTCTTAATTGATAACTTGCTCAAGAAAACTTGTTCCTACTTTTGAGGAGAGAAGGAATTTCTATTCTGTGAGGTAGTATGGAAGTCTCTGTTGCAGTCTTGATATTTTGTTAATAACAACCTTATGCTTTTAATAGGTCATTTGCAGAATCAAAATGGTTGAAGCAGATCGTCCTGGGAAACTGTTCATTGGGGGCCTGAACACAGAGACTAATGAAAAAGCCCTTGAGGCTGTGTTCGGCAAATATGGACGCATTGTGGAAGGTAAGAAGAAAAACCTTTCTATTTTAAGATAATAATAAAAATTAAAAGCAACAGCATAGCTGTGATGACTTTTTTGGCATTGATCATCTGAAATGATGGTGCTTTCACGTCCTCTAAGAAGTTCTGAGCTTAAAAGGTTAAATAAAGGTTAAGCGTTGCTGCCTAATTACAGGAGAGGTAACATGGCTTTATTTTTGCAGTCCTTTTGATGAAAGATCGAGAAACCAACAAGTCCAGAGGATTTGCGTTTGTCACATTTGAGAGTCCAGCAGATGCAAAAGATGCTGCCAGAGATATGAACGGAAAGGTAGGAATTAAGACCAGTTACATGTTGCTGTTGCTACTGACCAGCAGTATTGATCTTTGAGGTAAATTAACAGCTAATAAAAGTTGGAACAACAATGGGTTAGAACATCTTGAAGACAAGTCATAACTTCAAATTTGTCAAAATGTCTCTGTCTCTATGAAGCTAGAATCACTTTCTCCTGATTATGGATTTGACAGTAGAAAGTGAAGGCTGGCTGTCAGTTATACTGTCTTTTTTTTTTTTAACTGGTGATGGAATGCTGCTTAGTAGTCAGTTCTTCATTCTTGCATGTCTCTTATAACGTTTTTATCATGTTTAAATTGCAGTACTGTGTAAGTTACGGTTTAGGAAAGTGGCTTACCTGAAAGCTATTAATGGTTCCTTTAACGTGGGTTTAATGGACTTCCCTACTGTGGTGGAGTGTTGATGTGCTATCTGGTAATCCGTAGATAACCCTCCTACATTTGTGAATTGCATCAGCAATCTACTTGGCATGTATGAGGACTGTCTTGCCAGTTAATGTGAAATAGCTTTGCAGTTAGCCAGCAATTGAATTTGCTTGTTTACACCCTACAATGCAGTGATAAGACTTTAAGAGGAAACAGAAATTTAATGCATATGTAATGCCTTGAAAAAGGAAAACCGAAGACTTCGGAGCAAAAGTTCTGAGAAATACCAGGATAGTTTGTCAAATGATGGTAGGCTACTGTGATCTGTGCCTGTTCTGGCATGTGTTTGAAAAGCTAGGTGCAAGTTTGCAAGCAACTTAATGGTCAGCAGCTTATCTTCATAGAGGTGGTGTTGCTTTAGGCAGTAAAAACAATCTTCTCAGTTAACTTGAATTTCAGACTCTGCTCTTTCATGCATAATCTGAACGGTCATGTTAAGGTCACACTGCATTGGCCTTTCTTTAAGCAGCGTCTCTGAGATGCCATTCATGTAAGGTGAAGAAGCCTCTACTGATTCTGATTAACACTTGGGATTTTGATAATTGTCTTCTTAGCATAAGACATTGAAGTGGAAGAAAATGTCAGTCATTGCAGTCAGTAGGTAAACAATAACGAATATTTGCACTTTGGGAATGAGAAAATGAGCTTGTTGTAGTGTTCACAGTGAACACATAGTAAAACTTTCTTGTTTTGTGTTACAGCAGGCTTTCTGCTGTGTGTACTTAGTTTCTGGGTGCTTCAGGACAACCTCATGACAATATTACTTTCTTAGGAGAGTCACTTCCTTTTTAAAGAAGTTAGTAGGTTTTGTCAAGGCAGAGAGTGACAAGTCAGATAATGTCCTTGCTGTACCAGCCTAAGCATCCTTAAAGGTGCTTCTATTATTGAATTTATTTCTCTGTTGTGTAGTTTCCTACAGTTCTGAAGCCTTGTTCACTGCAGTTCTTAAACACTGATTTCCTCTGAAGTAGTTGTTACACTGAACCCTCCTAGAAGGTAACTTCAAGCATCAGCAATTAATTGACAGACTGAAAGGAGTTCAATCATTAATCCTAAGTACTTGTGGAGTGCAGCTTTCAAATGAAAATCCTTCTGAAAATAATCACCAGCTGTTGTAAATATTGAATGTTGTGGCATGTGTTTGCTTGGATTGGAAACATTCAGGAGAGTAGTGCTTACTAAAGTAGCTAAATGAGATTGAATGTTTGCGGCTGATGTGATGTCTACGTGTTCTGGAATGTACCATCTGCATCACTGTCAAGAAATGCTAGGAAGTTCTGCCTTGTGGATCATCTCTACCATGGTTTCTGTCTTCAACACTACAAATCTGAAAGTACCTTCATCATCTGCTTTGAAATATGAACAGCAAATAGCATATGAAAACAACATCCTCACTTGGGATTTGACCTAGAGTGACCTTTTTAACAAACATGTAGGTGCTACTGTGTATAGTTCCAGTTCTGTACTGGTCTAGCTTTGTTCAACCATGGATATGAAAGATGTGGAAGAGGTTCATGAGGTAGTCTCATCCTCATCTTCAGAAAGCCTTCTGGACAATAAATATTGCTTGTAACTCAAAAAGGCTGCATCCTAGATCTGAGAGGGAGTGATATTTGAGGCATGCTGCAGGAAGAGAACGTTGTAATAAATTAGTACTTGGGAAGTTTTTCTGACCATTTGGAAATGATGGATTGGAGTGCTCATGAGACTTTCAGGCACTTAAGAAGCATCAGCAAAAGCACTGTGCAGACAGACGATAGTTCGAGCAGCCTGTAAGGAGTGAGTTGACCTGTCTAGCCAGGGGGAAGAATTCTGCATCGCCAGTGTGTTTACTCATTCTGTCATTCTGAAGAAATTTGAAGTTGCAGCCAGTGGAAGAGGCTGAATTAGCTTCTGGAAGAGTGAATTTGCATTTGATTTTTTGCTTTCAAATGTTAAAAACGTACCCAATGTTTTACTCCTTTCTGGCTGGGGGGAAAGAAGGGGTTAATTGTATTTAATTCAAAAATGGGAAAAGCATAGAATAGTCCACGCTTGCTTGTTGAAGATTAATTTTCAGTCCTGCAGAAAGAGGTCAGAAGATAATGATTTTTTGAGTGGGGGTGGAGATTTTTCACTTAAATTACTTTCTCTACAGAATTGAATCAATGCTAGCATGTCTGAGCAAGCACCGAAGAAACACTAGTAGTAGCAAATACTAGCCTTCTTTAAGAGCAGCCTTAAATCACAGTAGTAGAGTCTACATTCTGGTGTCATGAAATGCACATACCTATCTGGACACAAGTGTGAATATTCCCAAGTCTGTAAAGGCCATTCCGTGCAGTAGGCAGTTCCTCATGATCTTGTGATTTTAAGTCCTGAAGATAAAATGGGTAATTAAAGAGAGGTTGTGACCTTAGAGGAAACATGCAGGACAAGCCAAAGATGTGATTGTGGTGTAGACCTGCCAAGCCAGCTGGACTTTTAAGAGGTTGGAAGCAAATACTACAATGCAAACAACAGTCTACACTGTACTCAGCGCTACAGAAGGTTACCTTCCTCTAATCAACAAAGTGTTTCCAGTTCTTTTGGTAAAGAAGTGATAGAATATGTAGAAACTCAGCCTGATAAGAAATGACCTTCAGTTCTTGAATATATTGGAAAAGAGGCCCACTTAATATGCCATCAAGGAATGTGCAGAAATCGTGGAGTCACTGCAGCCATGAACAGTAAAATGATCCATGGAAGAGGAGAGCCCTATGCGGTGTTAGGATGCAGTTTCGTGGAAGTTTCTGTAACAGTTTTTTCTGAATGCTTGATTTCTGCCCCACTCCCAAAACTACCCAAATTTAATTCATCTTTTCTGTTTGAACGTTGTACAGTTTGCAGGACAGTTTTCTAATTGTTGGTCAAGGTTCCCTGGCTCACCTTACAAAACTGTATAGATTGCTCATTCCATATACAGGAGTTGTTATGATTGCCAATCTATTATCCTTAAATGACTCGTATCTTAAATTACTTTCCTGCTTTTTAGCACCAAGGTGACTTCATTTTATGGTGCCCATATCATACTAAAAATGCTACTGTAACACTCTGATTCAAGGTTATAAACCAAATAATGAGTGTTCATGTTGACAGCTGGTGCTTTGGTCTCACTGAAAAAAATTCCTTTTTCTGAGATGGCTTGTGTGAATTTTATCTGCTCAGTGAGATGAGACATTTCTTTGAGCTAAGAACCTATAAAATGAAGTTGTCCCCTCTGCTTTAAAATAGGACAAACTTTGACAAGTATTTTCTGGTTAACCAAAAAAAAAAAAAAAATCTTCTTGGACCTAAATGCAAGGTCTTTCTGGACTTATCTTTTGCCTAGGTAAGATGCATAAGTGCAAGGCAGAAGGAAATAGGAGGAGAAATGATAAGGAAAACTATACCTTCTATATAAAAAAGGAAATAAGTTGGACCTAGCATCCAGGTTTTCAGAACCCATGCTAGCAGAAGGGGATGATGTTTGGTTTCCAAACTTCAGACAGTCAAGAATCTGCTATGAAATTGAGGACGGCAGTGGTCATGGTGGCAAAGCTTAAGGCTTCAAGCCCACTGTTGCTCTTTTGAGAAGGATGACTGAGACAGATGAATGATGATGTTGGCAAAATAACATGATACAAATTGAGAAGTTCCAGTGATTAGAGGTAGTGCTCCTGGAATGTTGCAGCTTGTCAGGCCAAAAGGCATTTTGAGGAACCTTCCATAAGTAAAATATTTTTTACTAAGTCAAAACTGAGACCAATATGATTTTGCTAGTATTCCTTAACTCTTTTCCTCAGAATGGATCAAGCTGGACCTGTGGATATGCTATCAGCAGCTCAGAGTAAGACATTAGTAGCGGTCATATTCTTGTTCATTTATTGCAGCAAAGTAGTGCAATATTTAAGTCTGCTAAAAAGGCAAATAACTCATGTTTGCCAGGATATCTGTGCAGTAACCTAACTTCAGTGGAGCTTGTGATCTTGGCTCTGCTATAATTAACTGAAAGTGTTGTTTGTGAAATATCACACAAATTTGATTAATTAGTTTAGGTACTCGATGTCTTACCACTTAGTCATGTTTGAAGGTATAACAATTGGCTGCAGAGTTCCTGTTACACAGGTCTATATTCCAGAAAAAGCGTCTACTTTTTTTTTCCTACCCCCCAAAAAAAAAAAAAAAAAAAACCAAACCAACCCACACAACAAAACCCTCAGACAAACAAACAAACAAAAAAAAAAACCCAAAACCCACAAAGCACCTCCACTCTGGAAAAGCAAGTAATAGAGTAAATTGTGACAGTCACCTTTTATGAAAACCCAGCTTGAAACAGTAGAAAAAGAGGGGTGAATTACCATACTTGGTCTGCTTTGTAGATGCTGAAATTACTTCTAAATACTTCAGTGATCACCGTTTTATCAGGACATCAAGAAAATGTACTAAACGGCCTCCCCATTGCCAGAAATCCCAACTGAAGCTAAGATATCTTCAGCTTAATCCTGTAACTACTGGCGCAGTCCTAGTTTGGTACAAAAGTCCGTGGCAATTGAAAGTAAATTGGAGATCATAAATCGTGTTTCATTTACAGAATAAATGACATGGGGCTGCCGTAATCATTGGACACTTGTGTTTTCACTGAAAGTCCTTTTTGATGCTGCTCTGTATTTTTTTCATCAATACCACAAGAATGAAGTACTGTAGAAATTAGGCCCAACATGCTGCTGAGTACATGGGGACTAATACTGAAGACTGAAATCAGTTCTAGAGTTGCTCTAACTTTATAAAATGGAAGCCCTATAATAGTGAAGCAAGAGGGGCTTAATTTAAGCAATACAAACATGACTGAGCAGTAAGTAAAGCAGCTTCTTCTTTAGTCATTAGATGGGAAAGCAATTAAAGTGGAACAAGCAACCAAGCCATCCTTTGAAAGTGGTGGCAGGCGTGGGCCGCCACCCCCTCCACGAAGCAGAGGTCCTCCCAGGGGCCTTAGAGGTGGAAGAGGCGGAAGTGGCGCGAGAGGACCACCTTCAAGAGGGAGTCACTTGGGTATGTATTTACCTCTCATTATATACTTGGACAACATACAAGACAATCCCATTGGAAGATGACAATAATCCTACTGGAAAAAAGTCAAACAGCTGAATAGTGCACTCCTTGTTCTTTATTAAAGTGATGAAATAAGATCTCAGCAGTTAGTCACATTTTTGATTAGTCAAGTACACCTTAAGAAAAAGCTTTCAAATATGAAGATTCCCTTCTACAACTAACACTCCACTTGACTTTTGGCTATGAAAGAAAAGCAAAACTCCTGCCCTGCACGTGAGAAAGGAAGCTTTCTGGTATTCAAGTTGAAAAAGCGATTCTCTTCCACCAGGGAAAGGGAACTGTCTTTCATTCTTGCTAGCAAGAGGTCTAAACTTAATAAATTCTAGGACTGATCCTTCCAGATCATAGTGGAAGTTAGGGAAGGTGAGCCTTACTTCTTGCTATAAAATTAGTAGTGTGTTGAGTTGAAGCTTTCTGAAGTGGAAGGATAGTACATTACTTGATACTGGATATTTTTTAAATTAAGATGTAGCTGCTTATTCAGAGACTTCAGTATCAAAACTGTTGCTTAAATGAAAAAGCAAGCAGCAGCTGAGGTATAACAGTAAAAGCTGTAATGCTGAAAAAAACCTGCAAATAGTGAAAGCTCCTGTCTTGAAGGGTCTGTGTAAGTAGGTTCTACAGACTCTGTAGTGCCTCTGTTCCCTCTCTGTGTAGGATCTTCTCTAGTACATCTTCCCAGGTGGCTCTTGTCTTCTGAGAACAGTAACTTGAGCATTTAAGCTGTGATTGATTACAGATATCAGCTGTCTTTCTCCCTTGTGTCACACCCTGTGGCTTTTGGATAAGTTCTAAAAGACAGTTCTTGACAGGATCTTAGGCTGTGGAGAGTTAACTTGGGCTCACAGTTCTGCCAGCAGCATCTAGCAGTGGTCAGAGCACAAGAGAAGGCTTTGAGGTCTAATTTTAGAGGTTTAGTGTTGAGCACATAGCAGTAATAACAGCACCTAGGTTATTGTAGTTTAGGCTTTAGGGTCATTCAGGCGAATATCATAGAAATAAACTGGTTCATGGCTTATCCTTCTAGGGTCTTCTCGAGGGCCACTTCCCATGAAGAGAGGGCCACCTCCACGAAGTGGAGGCCCTCCGCCTAAAAGATCTGCACCTTCAGGACCAGTACGTAGCAGTAGTATGGGAGGAAGAGGTAAGGACTTCCTGAATGATTTTTGTTGCTTGGTCACCTTTATAGCACCTTAGTCATTCTTCAGGGACTGTTGCAAGTCATTGATCCTAACTGGAATTCACTGTGGGATGGTATATTGTTTTTCTAATCTATTGGTCCTCTTCATACCAATATAATCTTGTAGCTAGCTGTTTGGAACAATTTGGTGTGATTTGATTAATATGTTCCTTCACATACTGCTTTAAAACTGTACAAGGCAGAAATGTAAAGTATTATAAATGTAGGCTACCAGGATGCTTAGCTATAAATGTAAAAAAAATAAATAGCTATAAACAGTCTGCTGATACTTGTCTTGGAGTTTTCTGTGTGGAAAAATGCTAGTTAAAAATTTTGTGCTGTTTCTCTTAAGCTCCTGTGTCACGTGGAAGAGACAGTTACGGTGGTCCTCCACGCAGAGAACCGATGCCATCACGAAGAGATGTCTACATGTCTCCAAGAGATGATGGCTATAGCACTAAAGATGGGTAAATTATTCTACTAATTTAGTTTGACCTTTTTTTGTTCAGAGAAGGATTTTGATCCCTGATGTTTTGAGGTGTGACATACGGCTAACATCTCAACTCTTGTTCTTTGTAGTTACTCGAGCAGAGATTATCCTAGTTCCAGGGACACACGGGACTACGCACCACCTCCACGGGACTACGCGTATCGTGATTATGGTCATTCCAGTTCACGTGACGAATACCCCTCCAGGGGATATAGGTACCTACTGTTGGATTTTTCTCACATTTTACTCTTGCTGTGATCTCACTGATTTGTACTAAGTCTTAGTAGTCTTTCCTCCTATAGCGATCGTGATGGATACGGTGGTGGACGTGACAGAGACTACTCAGATCATCCAAGTGGAGGCTCCTACAGAGATTCATATGAGAGTTATGGTAAGAACCTATTTTGAGGATCATGTAGTAATCTGTACAAATGTCATAAAATCTGACTTACTAGATTGCTCGTGTTTTAGGGGGAAGTGGCACACTTTTTTCCCCTACAGTGAAAGTGCAGTTGTTGGTTATCATTTGATCATCTTGTTAAATAAGCTATAAGCTAAAGAAGCAGAGTCTACAGTTCAGAATTGCAACTATCTCTGGAAAATGTGGCTGTTTCTTCTCTAAAATAACAAGCTGTTCTGGAATACCCAGTAAAGAGCCTGCCTGAATAAACACCGTCTTCATTCCTTCAGAGTCTTTAAAATCCACTCACTGCCTGATACGCAATCCCCACTTTAAATACCATTAATGTGGCAGATTATATTAAGAACATCTCGATACGTTCAAAAGAGTAGCAGTAAACATTTAAATACAGCAATTCTGTAAATTCAGATTGAAATTGTTCTATATAACTTATGGTGTTGCCATATTACCTGACCATTGACCCTGCAGGTAACTCACGTAGTGCTCCACCTGCACGAGGGCCCCCGCCATCTTATGGTGGAAGCAGTCGATATGATGATTACGGCAGCACACGAGATGGATATGGAAGCCGAGAAAGTTACTCAAGCAGCAGAAGTGATGTCTACTCAAGTGGTCGTGATCGTGTTGGAAGACAAGACAGGGGTCTTCCCCCATCCATGGAAAGGGGCTATCCACCTCCTCGTGATTCTTACAGTAGTTCAAGCCGCGGAGCCCCCAGAGGTGGTGGCCGTGGTGGAAGCAGATCCGATAGAGGTGGAGGCAGAAGCAGATACTAAAAACACTCTTAAACTTTTGGACCAAGACAGATTACTTCTCAAAAAAAAAAAAAAAAAAAATGGAAGTTGTTCTATCTTTACTACCAGAGGACTACTAAAAGGAAAAGTTGTTTTTACCTTTTTTTATTGTTGCCTGTTAAGTTTCCCCTCCATGACTTTTATGCTTTTGTGAGGAAAAGTTAAACCAATGTTTAATTTCATTTCAAAATTGTTAACATTTCTTTCAAAAAGCAGATGTTAAATGTATAAAACTTGAGCTGTGTACTAGTGTTGTAATTTTCAAAGTAAAGTTTCCCTGAAATGCCACACTTCCATCTGATTTTCCTCATGAATGGAACAAGCAGTTCTTAAGATCTTCCACACAACATCCAACCATCTAACATGGAGATGGATTGTTCTACATGTTCAGCATCTCATTCTTAAACAAAGTATTGCTTGTGATTTGGAGGGTGGTGGGGATATTCCACACAAAATGCAGTTGTGCCTAGAATTTGAAGTCACAATGTTCACAGTACAAAATGCCTTCAGATCCTTGTGTAAAGAAAAATAGAGGATATCATTCACTTAACCCAAAAAAGCAAGTGGATAATACTATTTTCTGCCTTCCTACTGTTTCATGGGGAGTTTGAAAAGATCTCCCCTCCAAATAAATCATGTACGTGTAAGTCAGCTACAGAATACTGTAAAAATAAAAAAAAATTGACCGGTTCCATCAAAGAAGCTGCAAAACGATGCTTACTCATACTGTTTCAAATTTTTGCAACTCTGTAGTGTTTCACTTTTAAAGGAACATCTTTGATTCCAAAGGAGAAAATAAGATAAGCAAAGAAGTCTTTCTCTCCAACTTCTCAAAGGCTTATGGCTTCATAAAAACAAGTGAATCTTTCAGCATTCCACAGCTGATTTAAAGCATCAAATGCCTGTGAAACAGCAAAGATGGTAAGCAAAGCAAACTAGTTTTTCAGTCTAAGTCAAAATTGAACCAAATTATCTTCCTCTAGTACAGTAAGACAAGCTGCACGTCATGGCAATGGAAGTGCTGTCTAGATTAAAAAAAAAAAAAAAAAAAAGAAAAACTCCAATACGTTAGAAGTTCTCCAAATTCAACACTAATTCAACATTTCTTCTTGGATAAAAGCATTTATGGCACCAATTTTGAAACTAAAGACATAATGCAGCTCACTGTAGACAGAATATTGCCAAGTAGGGTTGGGAGGGGGTATTTTGTGCCCAGTATCTTTCAGTGAAGATGCTTAAAGAGGCTGCATGTACCATATTTTAACAAAATTAAAGCCTTACGAAATAAGGAATTGGTTTAGATTTGACAAATATCAGCTCGGCTATTGAGAGTTTGAAGCAAGCCATTGCAAACTTGACGTTTAGTTGGATGCCTGACTCTGTTTAGTTTGACACTGCGTTACAGGGATATCTAGTACATGTGGCAGAACCTGTGGCAAGTTGTTATGACTCAGGTAAAGCCATGAAGTTCAAAAGATGCTCTTGAATATAGTAGACATGAAGACCTCCAACTAAAAAAAAAACCACAAACCCAAAAGCTTTGTACTACTGTTTAGTCCTCAGTAAATTTTGTCGTTCAACTTATGGATTTAACATGGCAGTGCACCATTGGAAAGGAATGAGAATCCATAAGCCATGCTACCTGTCACTAAGCCATTTCAGTCCATTCCAAGGCAGTGAATCCTCCACCACTTAAGAAAGAAGTAGTAAAACTTGCAACAGAATGATCTGCAAACCCAAGCCTGTGACTTTTTTGAAATGGGGGGAAGCACTATAGGTTGATTCATGCTGTAAAATGTACTTTTCTCAATTTGTTGTATCTTCTCTTGATTGCAGGATGATAACTTCTAGAAGATAGCTACAGAAGTAATGCTGGTTCATCTATATTGATGGCAGAGATAGGTGGTGCCTGTACCAATACATAAGGTAAATACTACGCTAGTGTAATAACTAATGAAGATTTCTGGTGGTTCTGTGTTTATAGATTTGGATGAATGTTGTTCGTGGCTAAATCATATTTTTAACTTGCTGTTTGAATTTTGGAGGAGGAGGTTTAAGTACACTTTTTAAGCCTACCAAGTTAGGAATGACAGTGAGAGGCTTCTCATCTGCAGAAATTGGTCCAATTTGGGTATTGGCTGTACATAAAATATAATTACAAATGTACTCTTAAGTCATGCTGCCAAGAGTACTTAGTTTAGGAATCTTTGTAAGACCAGACCATCAAAATCCGGATTGGAATAATAAATGTCAGTACAAACATTTAATCAGTCTTGCTAAATGTGTAGAACATAAAATTTAACGATTGTACTGAGTATAACCTTTGATTAGGAATTAATCTCTGAAGAGGTCCTTGGATTAAATTGCAGATTTACAGGCATCTCCAGAATTGTTTTAAACTTTGTAAGTCAGCTGTTGACTTGGAAGCCTACCCTATTAAAATTATTTTTCAAGTGCATGTAGGAGCAGCTGTCTTCAGACTTAATGCAGAAGAGTGATTGTCTCTTCTGTTTGTCTGGTAACTGACCAGGAAAAGAAGGTGATAGTGGCTGTCATGATAATACAGCTTTTTGGAAAACTTCTCTACCAAATAATTGTTACTTTTTTTTTTTTTTTTTTTTTTTTTCCTAAAAAAAAAAAAAAATCGCCAAATTGTGCAAAATCTGTTAAAATTTAGCATAGAGTGAAAGGTAAGGACAAATCCATTTTCCAAGGGGAGTAATTGTGTAAGAAGCATCTGTACTTTTTATGTAATTTTTTAAATAGTTCTCAAAGTACTCTGTAAATGTATGGACGTATTTTGCTGTTAGTTTAAAATACTGCTATTGAGAACCAGCTTTGAAATGGTGAAAAGAAAAAGCTGTAGTTGGTACAGTGTTATTCATCTGACACATGGTTACTGATTTCAGGGAGTTTCTATCTTGTGTGAAGTGTAGGTTCTATTGTATACTGTGTGATTTCTTAGTTGGCTTACAATTAATTCTTTTTAGAGTCTCAGCAACAGCAATTAAGAGCTGTGCAATGCCTTTGTCAGAATATGCCAGTAGTGCTCCTGATAAATTGCTGCCATTACCTTGATAAAAAAAAGAAAAAATATGCTTTTATTTCAGGGTAATGGATTGTATTTCAGATCAAATACAGGAGCATCATGAGTATTGTCTGTTCCGAGTCAAAGGATATAGTTAAATAAAATAATAGGTGCTAGCTCACTAACTTTTCCTGTCACATGATAAACTTTCAAACAACAAAATGTTACTTTTCTTATCTTGGTGTTCCTCTTAAGTGTGACTGTTTAAATATTTAAATCACAAATCCTACTGGAAAGAACACTGTTTGAACTACATGTGTCTCTTCAAAGATTAAAAAAAACCTAGCCTCTTTTCATTCAAAAACCACTGATGTCAGTCATATGGCACCAAAGCGGATTAGGGAAATACGTCTAAAAGTAAGCTCTTCTCCCTCATGCACCCCACCAACCTGTAAAAAATGAACAGAAGTCAATTTCTAAATGTATAGTTAGGGGCTGATTCAGCTCATGAATCCTCTAATAAAGAGGTGGAATACTGTCTTTAATATGCAGCATCCTAGTTGACTTTAAAAGGTTTTGCCAAATGTTTATATAGGTTGTGTCAGAATGTTTCTAATTTTTTTATATGTGTGTGCTTCGATCCTCTGTATTAGCTGGGAAGCTGAAGGTTAATTACTTTCAGCAAGTGAAAAAGCTTCTTACTTACTAGTAGTAGTGGGCCATGTTGTAAAAGATACTAAAGATAGAGGCACACTTTCTCAGCCTACTCTGCAGCTTATAAACATTTCCAAATTCTTAACGGGCATGGTGCAGGTGTTAGCTTAGGGAGCACTAAATGGAACTTAACTCATGGCAGAAAAGGTAATACTAACTAAAAAATACTGATGTAATTCTACTAATCCAGCAAGCTGTTTACCTTCTCTTGATCACAAGTTTTGCTCAATTTATAACACGTGATTATTTAAAGATTAGTACCAGTGTGTATACCAGTTTATGACAGGACTCTTGAATATCGTGCTTGAGATGGTCAAGAGCTAGTAGGATTTTTTCGTAGACAGTTTGGAGTGGGGATATGCACAGGAATTACAGAGCCTTTACTTAGTGCTTGCTCTGAAGACTGTTGTACAAGAAGTGTGCATTAATACAAGCAGTCCTCAAATTGTTTTGATTACTGTAGTTAGCTGTTGATGTACTTTCATACTGTTGGAACAAATTGAATACAATCCAAATGAATGCATTGTGTATATAAAAAGAATCACCTCAAATATGATTTAGCTTTTTTGTCTCTTGGTTTCTGAGAGTGCACTAACTTGCATTTCCTTTTTCCAGTTACGATGACTAGAAGAAGGCAGTACAGCAGTGGATATGCGTTGGAAAATCGAAGGATAACAAAAGACAACTGATTGAGCTTGACTTTTGAGCGTGGTGTTACCCACTATTTGTTTTAGAGGGTTGTGTTATTCAGGAGTTGCCTTTGAAAGTAGCACTACTAATCTGTTGACTATAAAAAAAATGTTCAGGTGGAAGTCAATTGCTGTCTGCCACAGCTAACATCTTCCAAGGGTCAAGAGTGAGCCTTTTTTTAGTCAGTATACATGCATCAGTAGATTCTGCAGCAGGAAAATATTCTGGGGTTGCCCTTTATGTAAGGTGCTTTCTGTTTATGCTGAGAAAAAGAGCAAGTTGTATGAAAGTGAGGTTTAGTCCTCCAAAATACAGAGGACTAAATTGTTACAAATAATTCTTCACCAAGAAACCATTAAAAGTTTTACTATATTCTTACATTAACAGTCTTATAATTGTCCAGGCCTTCTGGATGAGAGGAAGGAAGTGTTGATGTACTGAGACAGTATTAGTAATAAATCCCCAGGATAATTAGTGTTCTTGTACGTACTAGTTTCTTGGGAAATCCCAGACAGCACTGCATCTCTTGCAACAAGATGCTTTTTTTGAAACTTTGCCTTGGTTTCAATGCGTTTTTATCTTACATATATGTTGATGTGCCATTGTACATGCGAGGAATCCTCAGGCACCAGTATTTCATGTAGAAAATTCACCTCGGATTGAAGTACAGAAACAGTCATGGCTAATAAAGTTTTTACTGGCTTCTTCTCTGGTAGACATAAACTGATCTCATTTAAATAACACTCAGCTTGTAACAAGTAGCTAAAGAAGAAAAAGCATGCATCTCTTGTCTAGGGATTGAAAACTATGAGTTTTGGGATAAGAATATCACTTCAAACTTCAGTCATGGATTGCAGATTCTAGGTGTAAGTCTGCCTGTATGTAGTAGATGGGTAGAATTGCAGTATTTCCCAGGACTAATAAATTTACTGTTAAAACCATGATGGGTTTGGGCTGTTTGTTTTTTAATTTAACAAAAAAAACCCACTTTCTTGGTGACACTTGTATGTGGAAAAGATAACTAGCATTATGTATTGATGGAGGTTTATTGTTACAAAGCGGTATCAGTATCTTCTGCCAGAGAGAATCATACGCTGTAATATTAAGAGACTCCTTTTTCAGCAGTAGCTTATAGTCTGGGCACTGCTGTTCAGGATGAACGAGATCATCCTAACTAAAATGGAATGCCAACATATGAGCTATCATATGAAAAAAGATTGATACCTACCTAAAATGCTAAACAATGAGAATGTACTACCAGTGTAAATTAGCTCATGTGCTGACTCAGACTTCATCATTGGAAGTTTAAAGGCATCAGTAAGTTCTGCAGCAGAAAAATACTCGAGCATTGTTCTTCATACTGGTTGTTTTTCCTCCATGCTGAGATAAAGAGCAAGTTACTTAAAATGAGTGACTTGGAGGAGAATCCCTCTAGAATGTTTTCTAACATCTGTATGCTGTTCCTGACTTGCTCCTGTTACCATGCTGTCACTGATGTATATGCCTTCAGTCCTTTGATAATTGGATATAGACCACCCACCCACCTCCCTTTTTTTTTGTTTTAAAGAATCCTGTGCTACGTAGTCATCACTGGTGTAAATCAGGCTGCAAATAAAACTCTAACTTGGGGGTGGAGGTTGACTCTGCGATTGACAGTTCATTTGATTTGTGCCTGTTAACAACCGATGTTGAATTATTTTTTTCCAAAGACCGAACCTGAAACTGTTCCTTGCTTGGTGGCTATACCTTCATATGCTGGGATTGCCACAGAATTAATTTTAGTGTAGAGGTGGGTGAACAAGCTGCAACATTTTTAGTCGGGTCCTTTCTGAACGGTGAACAGTTGGCTTTGAGGTGGCTAATCAGAAGTGTCTTAAATTTGGGGGCTTCTGAATAAACTTACAAGCAGTTGGTAACTGTTCAGGATGTGGGAAGTATTTTCGTGTAATTGTAACCATTAATTGGCTGCAACAGCTGCATGTTGAGAGTCATGAAATTAAACCTGCCTATCTATACAAAGACAGGTTTGCTTTAGGGAAGGAGTGCGTTAAGTGCTCTTCCAAGTTCAGGTTCATAGCACTCAGTTAATGAAGTGGGTGTGTAATTTTACCTGTGTTGAAATATTTCTCTTGCTCTTTACATCAGAAACTGGCGTGTTCTGATGAGATGACTGAAGTGGATGTCGTCCATGTACAAATGATTGTCCCCATCTAATGAGCATTAGTGGTTGTCTTCCCTACTACAGATTTGGAAAAAGAAAAAGCAAGCTACAAAAGTGGAGACTGCAAGTACTCACTTTACAAAATTGTAGTGCTTATGAGAACTGGAAAAATAAAACCCCTAAAGTTCTTGCAATTAGTCATAAATTTGAAATGTTTTGCACATATATGTACAGTTGTAGATGTGCTTCACCAGATGGCAGTGAGTTTTGTGATTGAGCTTCAGCCAGCTTTATCGTTCACTGGGGCTGCAGCTGTGTGTTACTAGTAGTTCCATACATCAGAGTACCAGAACTCATCCCCATGTCCTCATAAAGGTCAAGTCTGTCTTAACCTAAAAAGGCAATTCTAATTTCTTACTGTTGGCTGTTAAAGATGATCCTTACGCAGGTCCCAGTAGCAGTCATAATGCCTGAAAAGTAGAGGCACAAACCCATGTGTACTTATTGTATATAATTTATCCTTTTGCTCTTCTATTTTTCTCTACCCTTTCAATGACTAGCCTAAGCAGTTTGGGAGCGCTCATGCCTTGAAAACAGTTGCTTCAAGTAACAGGGTTAGGAATTGGCTCAGGATATTGTCACTGAGAAATTCTGGTCTCTAGGATAATTTGTTCCTGTTGTATTGCTTCAATCCGTGATGTTCCAACTTCTTTGGCACTACAAACAGAGAATTGCTTAATTTTCCATCTGTTCTGGTGAAAGGACAGTTAGGAAGAAATTGGCAAGATGACTGAACTTGGCTAAGTCAATATGATCAGTAGTGGTTAATACTGGCCCAGAGCATGGTGACAAACATACTACTCCATACAGTGGATGCTGAAGAGCCGGTGGAAAGGGACATTTTAATAGGACAAGTTAAACAGGAAGTTTCTCAGCTTTGGAGGACTGAAATTCATTAACTTTTTGAAGTTATTCAGATGTTTGTTTTGGGAGATTATCATCTTTCAAATAATGATTTTGGATTCTATGTGCACTTCTTCATAAAAATAGTTGAAAAAAAATTTTTTTCTGTATAAAGTGCATGATTTGAATTTATTTTCAAAAATCAGATATTGAAAATAGAAAACTATAGGCAATTTTAATAACTAGCTTTGCCACATAAAGTTAAAGAGTGTTTCTTTAAAGTTATCATGATGTTTCCCACAATCATCTTTAGTGTGAAGTTCAATTTTAACACTGCAAATTCTAGAATCACAGACTGGTTTGGGTTGGAAGGGACCTTAAATCGCCTCCAGTGCCCCCCCCAGCCCCGAGCAGGGCCCCCTTCCCCCAGCCCAGGGTGCTCCCAGCCCCGTCCAACCTGGCCTTGAACCCTTCCAGGGAGGGGGCAGCCACAGCTGCTCTGGGCACCCTGGGCCAGCGCCTCCCCCCCGCACAGGGAACAATTTCTGCCTTAGATCTCATCTAAATCTCCCCTCTTTCAGTTTAAAACCGTTACCCCTCGTCCCATCCCCACCCCCTGACCCAGAGTCCCCCCCCACCTCTCCTGCCCCCCCTTTAAGCCCTGGGAGGCCGCTCGAAGGTCCCCCCGGAGCCTTCTCTTCTCCAGGCTGAACCCCCCCAACTCTCTCAGCCCGGCCCCCCAGGGGAGCTGCTCCAGCCCCCCCAGCATCTCCGTGGCCTCCTCTGGCCCCGCTCGAGCAGCTCCGGGTCCTTCTGCTGTTGGGGGCCCCCGAGCTGGCCCCAGCACTGCAGGGTGGAGTACATCCCTCCAGTGCTATGCCATGCAACATTCTCATTGCAAATCTACATTTGCTTCTTTGGGCAATTGCCACAAGTTAAGACCAAGTTTACCAGATGATAGGATGCCAGCTGCCACAAAGAGGAAGTCAGTAGGTAAGATCTTTTTGGTGGAGCAAGTATCCACATAAAATAACGTCTATTTATTGTTATTGACATTGGAAATGTGTAGTTAAAGATCTGCTTTCATTGTCACTCTTTAACAGAGCAGTAGAAACATGTTTTATGAACAAAAAAAGTTGCTTACCTTAGAGTTACAGTACTTCTGCCTCTTAAGATTTGTTGAGCTTCTGTGTTGAGAGAAAAAAAAAAAAAAATTAGTTTCACACTTGAGCTCTGCAAGCAGCAGCAGAGGCAGGAAGATGTAATCACGGATGTGGGTTCCAGCAAGCTGCTGCACAGGAGAACTGCGCTGGTGGCAGAGCTCTCCGCGATGAATCCAGAAGAACAAATTGTAACGTGGCTTATTTCATTAGGAGTTTTAAATTCCCCTAAGAAAATAGTAGATGATCCGGAGGAGTTTCTGAAAACTTCTCTGAAAGATGGAACTGTGCTTTGTAAACTCATTAATCGACTTCTTCCAGGATCTGCAGAAAAGGTAACTCTTTTAAGATGTATTTTGCTAGCCTGAAACAGCACTGCTCAGTAAAATAGTACCCTGGTCATTTCAAAGTATGGTTTTCTTTGGTAATTAAGATAAGCAAGGAGCATCAGAAGTAAATGTTTTACATTTTAGTTACTAGCTTCAGTTCTTTGATTTTGTCTCTACACCCAGAAAAAAAAATTAAAAGATTGCCGTTGGCCGAGTTACGCATGTTCATTCAGTGGCAGGAACTACCGGGCCTACCAGAGATCACAATATCTTGGTTTTGAATAGAAGGATATGCGGTTTGTCTGTATTTACATAAATAGAATTAATTACAACTGTAAATATATTCACTCTTTCAGAACTCTTAGTGTAAAATACTTTGTTAGTCAGGAAATACAGTAGCAGAACAGATTAGGTGAGGAATAAATAATGAACTTTGCATCCATGGCATTTTGAACTGTCCCAAGGCCAGCAAATCCACTGGTACCGCAGCCATTTGAGCCATGCGAGTACCTCCTATTAGAGTTTTACAAGGCATATATTCAGACAGTCCAAAAGTGTGATAAGTAGCTGCAGGAGAAAAAAAGGGAATGAGTCCAATGAGATAGGAAATGGGAAAACAGAAGAGAAGCTGTTTAAATAAAAAAACAGGTTCTCCACCCTGTAAAACAGGAACCTTTATTATGCAAAAATCAGTTTTGCCAGCTTCTTATCTTTTGCTTATATGTGATGGTTGGGGGCAGTGTGTTCTTAAAGGTCATCGATTTCCCACTGTCACTTAGGGCACTGTCATATGTTGACATTCAAAACAAGATGCCGACCATGTCGATGTATGCATCACTTCCTCCAGTGGCTCTTTCTTCCTGCTTCGACAGCTTGCCTGCCACCCCCATCCGCCCCCTTAAGAAGCTTCCCTAATTCAGTATAAAATGCACATGTCAATATTCATGCAGGCCTTCTGAATAGAGGCTATACGGAAGGTAATGCAATGATCTCAGTGGATTTTCTTTCTTTAGTATTGCCTGGAGCCTAAAAATGAAGCTGATTGCATCAGTAATATTCAAGAGTTCTTGAAAGGCTGCGCACTCCTTAAAGTGGAGGTAAGTCAACTTGGATCTTTTATTGTCATAAATGCTTGTTTAATCAGCCTTCTGAAAAGAAGCCAGATCACAGAGGGATGAAATCGGTAGTCATTCCTCATCTGTTGTATTAATAACAGAAATTAAAGCATGGGTAATTTAATATTCTGTCTGGAGAATTTGGAAATAGAGTGTATTGACTGTGACCTTAACAAATGCCGTCTCATCTTTAGAGACAAACTTAAATGGTCAGGTAGAAATACATGCAGCAATAACAGGAGATCTGTCTAAACAGAGTTAAGCAGTATGGAC